TTATTTCTTCTAATCTTCACGGTGATGAAAATATTTAAATAGATTACTTTCAAAAAAAAAGTGTTAATGTGACTTTGATGCATTCATTCAAACTGACGTCATGAGAATAGTGTTAATAGATAAATAAATATTGATACATGGCTGGAGACAGAAAGTATTACCAGGGTCTAATGTACGAAGATTTCATCGCCCTGATGACGGAGGCAGTATGACCTCTGAAACGTTGGTTAACATCGACCAGACTACACAACGCAACAACCCAGAAGACAGAAATCTTCATACTCACCACTGTGAAAACCTCAAATCTTACAGGGTCTAATGTAATGTACACCTCAATAATAGTGATTGTCATCATGCTGCATACAGAAAGGATATGTAGGTTTATACAGGCCTACATAGAAGTCACCATGAAATTACAAATATTTTTGTTAGGTTATCAGAGGTGCTAGTTAGCATTTCAGCATTTGCAACTTCCCCCACTTTGTTTATTACGTCACTAGAAGCATAATTCCACAGTGTAAATGCAAATAGAAGAGATTTTGTCCTGCTGGCTGCCCACCTGTTTATTTCAGCTCTGTAATTACTTAGTGTGTTCTGGATACATTTGGTATTTGAAGTTTATACTTGGGTAAGTTTCAGTTTTGGTCTGTATTAAAGCTGTAGTTACAGGAACTGAAGTCTGACAAGAGCAAAACATTATATTGTACAACTATTATCACATGCTAGTTTAACACACTGTAATTAATTTTTAGAGCCATTTTACTTTAAGAGAATAATTATAGTATTACATATATATTTTGAATACTTTCAAAGATTCTGATAAAACGATATATAACACTTCTATTACACTGTGTATTAGCACGTGTGAATTATTTTAACATTAATCAGGTTTAATACCCACACTATTTAATAACCCAAATACATTTTTTGGTATTTCATTATATATTAACTTTATAGATAAATGCTCTGAATAAAGCTTACAAGGGCCCATAAGATATAAATGTTACATCTGTTGCAATATTTTTAACAAATTCACTGACTCTGAGAAAAACCCTAGTACTATAACAAAAGACCTGTTAAGATCGTGTTATCAAAAATGTTTTCTAGCTGTTGTTAATACCCTTCCACAAAGCTTATTGCTGCCTGGCTTACAACCCATTCCATACATACACCTATGCAGCAGACTCATGTCATGTGGAAACAAAACACACTCCTTTTCTGCCTCCTTAATGATGCATTTGACCTTTTATTCTTGTTCAGCTGGTATAACATCAATAGCTTCATGAAAAGGGAAAGGAATTATTCACATTTTTATACAGAGTTAAGACTGCACTGTATATTAATTCTCCATCAGTACTCTAACAAGAGTGGCCTTCTTCCAGATGCCATTGCTAGCTGACAGGATGTCAGTGAATGCAGATGAATGTGTCAGTGCACTAGGTGAGTTTGGGTGGTGGCAGCTCAGAGCCATTCTGCTGGTGGCGCTGGTCAAAGTTCCCTCAGCATGGCAGATGGCCAGCATTCTGTTTACTGCTCCCAGCCCTGGGGAGTTCTGGTGTGCCCGCCCCAATAAGCTCCTGAGCTGGAATACTGAGCAGTGGAGAGAGTACATCCACCCCAACACATCTGCTGTGAGTGAAAACACAGTGGTTCTTTAATATACAGCCACATATCTAAATGTTTTACAATTAAGTCTTATAGCTTTTGTGTTTTCTTAACTAATGAACCATCCCAATGATTGACTGATGCAGTAACCCAGTAACCAACCAACAAACTTGATTTCTATGGCACATGGTTTCTTTGAGCAGGTGACAATTATTAAACTTATCTAGACATTCCCTGATCTTTTGTAAATGTGTTAACAAATTCCAGTTTAATCCAGCAACTATTTCAATAGAGAACTAACTCACTTCTTCTATCTTTTTATTATTTCTTTTAATGATGAGACCATATCAAAATGAAAGATTTTATCCAAGATAAAGAGAAAATTCTTACTACAAATTTAGGCTAAAAATGAGAATGTGGGAAACGCTATATAAAGGTAAATGGTGCAGAAATTTGTAATCATAGGCAATAGGAACATGTCACTATAATTATTAGTTGCTGAGCAGTTACTATTTTCATCCTGCTGCTGCTAATCATGACTGCTGGTCTATGAGATGCCAAAGACTTACTCTTTTTGTTACCACCTCATATGCATGTGTGAGAATTTAGATTATTATGGCAGTGAAGACACAGCATGGTCTTTTGTGTTTTGATAATATGTGGTCTTGTAAGTGGCTATCAACATTTTGGAGGAATGTATTGCCTCCATCTTCAAGATGATGTGAAGGTGGAGGCAGTAATTCTATTGCAATACTGGCAACCACCTAAAAAATTACAGTCACAACCCAGAAGACCATGATAAACTTTGTATGACTAGCTACCATCATGTAAAACACCATGCTTTTACACCACAGGGTAAAAGAGATGCATGCAACATCTATGATGTAGAAAGTAAGATGATCAGTGGGCTTCACAGAATTCCTGATAACGTGAGCATCAAACCATGTGAGCAATTTGAGTTCAGAGACAGCTCAGTGACAGTGGTCACTCAGGTCAGTATCTGTGCTATGCTACTCATATGTATGAACACAGTGATGATATTAACTAACTCCCTGGTAGAAGAACCCACAGGTTCAACACCGACAACACCAGAGCCCGCCACTGGCCACGATCCTGAGCCAACTCCATCCATTTGCCATCCTCACACCCCACCTCCCTAAGATTCATCTTGATGTTAGATTCCCATAAATATTGTTACACCTCAGAAAATGGACACTGCACAGCCATTAGATATCACCATAATCAAAGGATTGGATACACACATAAACACATCATGAGCCACTATCACACTGAGTACACAGACAGACGCACATCAGAGTGGTAAAGACTGTTACTTTCTCTCTTTACAACATGATCTGTACCAATTCACAGTGGAACCTGGTGTGTCAGCGGGAAGTGTTGGTCAGTGTGTCTCAATTCTTCTACCTGCTCGGCATCCTAGTGGGTGGAGTCCTGTGCACCCAGCTTCTCAAAAGGTTTGAATTCTCTCAGGATATTAAAATGAGCTTATAATTGGACACAATGGTTAAGACTTTAGTTTTGTCAGTGTTCAGCCTTCAGACTCTGTTATAAGAGGATTACTTTCTGAAACAGGATAAATAGAAATACATGCCTAAAACTGTGCACTAATCTGCCCATCCCCTATTAAATGAATAAGACTGGGACAGTATACTTTAATTTGGAGTGCACAGATTTTCCAGTTCCTTAGTCTGCAATTTTGCACACTTCATTAGTACTGATGGTAATCTAGTGAACATATATCGTCTGCATGATGCAGCTTACAGGTAATCAAACTGGTAAAGTGTCACACTAACATCCCACTAAACTGTTTAACCTGGAGCAAAAGTCTAGTTGGTAGCCCCATAATATGGGGATTTTAATTCCTTATTCCCCTACAACAAAGGTTAAGATACAAATCAATTGCCCTAAAGCCAATCATACTACGGACATTTTACTTCACAGTCATAGACTATTCACTATATTTCCAACCATTACAAATAAAAGTTGTAGATCTTAATGAGAAATGTATTTTATGTTATGCTAACCTTTTGTACAGTGAGCTGTTTTTGAGAAAAATTACAAAATATTTACTTCATATAAAGTAGAGGATATCTAAATTGACCCTGAGCAGATTAATTCATAAATATTTATGAATTTCTTCCATTTCTGGAAATATTAAAGTTGATGACATTGTTACATTGAAAATATTAAACCTGAAATTTGCAGGTTCAGTCCTAAGAGGATACTTCTTATAGGAATGCTAACTCAGATTATCGCAGGCATTGCTGTGGCCCTAGCTCCACAGTTTGAACTCCAAGTTTCTTTGCGGTTCCTGACAGCTGTCGCTTGTGCCAACATGTTCACAAGTGGCTATGTGATATGTAAGTGCCACCAGTAGAAAGAAACCTATGTCCCTAAATCAAAGCATATTTGAACAAAACAAAACAAAGAACTTTCTTCATTCATAACTACTCTTATGGAACCTAAATTCCTTTGGCTGTAACATCATGTGTTATAAAAAGCTTCTGATATCTCAGAGGAATCTACTGCATTATATTTTGAAGATTGAGAAACTTCAGTAGATTCCTCTGAAATGTCAGAACCATCTTCCAGCATGAAAGTCATAACCCAAATACACTGCAATTAACAGAGAAAACTTGGAATTTTATGAAGTACCATTCATTTCAGGTACAGACATAACTGCAGGTCATTGGCATCTCATAACTGGAGCATGCTATGAGCACATGTGGTCAGTTGGAGTGGTAACACTGGCAGGACTAGGCTATTTTCTGAGTAACTGGATACATCTACAGCTGGCCATTTCCATACCAACTGTTATCATTCTGGTTGCCTACAAGTGAGTTTCCTCTTTCTCTAAACCATCTCAGTCATTGTGGTAAAATATTTATGTACCACCCTATGTGCTATATATATACATGACAGATGGATTCCTGACTCACCAAGATGGTTGATAGCAAAGGGACATCAAGCAGAAGCAAAAGTCATACTGGAAGAAGGTGCAGCATTCAACAGAAGAAGTATTCCTGTGGCTGACATCCAAGCTCTGCCAAAAGAAGGGTGAGTGAGACACTTTGCTTATATCCTCATGGCTTTTGGCTTGCACTTCATGGGACAAAAGAAAAGATATAGAAGCATTAACTGTGAGCTTCAAAGTCAATAGCAAAAGCAAAACCATTTGCAGCATTGCTATATACAGAGTGCGCCAGAAACACCTAACGGTTTTTCAAATGTAATAACTTTTCAAAGCAGAGTGGAAAAATTTATTAACACAGGCAGATGCATTTCCATTTTCATCAAGAATTTTTTTTAAGCATTACTGTTTGAGTATGACATCTTGCAGGTGACGTCCTTGTTGTTCAACACACTTTTGCAGTTGAAACGCATGGATGCTGTAGCACACCATACTGACTTTCGCACTATGCAGACAGCATTAGTGAAGTTCACGCAGGTTTTTTGCAGCCCAAAAATGACAATTTTGTTCATTCACATAACCTGAAATGTGGAAGTGGTCCTCATCTGACATGAGTAATGAGTTCACATTGTTTTGATTATTATTCACCAAGTTCAAGAATTTATTGCAAAAATGAAGTCAGTTCACCTTGTCTGTTCACTAAGTTCCTGGGCAATTTGGATTTTGCAGGGATGGTAATGCAAATCTGGAAAGATGGTAATTAAATTTCAAAAACAGTCAGGTATTTCTGGCACACACTGTATCTACATGGAAACATAAGCTACTAAATTATATGAGGCTTACTGGCATAGCATCACACATGGCTTATACCACTAAGCTTTTGACTGAACACTACCTTTCTTGTTCAGCTATGCATAATCTCCCAAATACAAACCAGGAGTACTAACCATGTGACCACAATATATAGTACACACTTACAGCAGATTTAAGACAGACACAAGGGAATTTACAAGGCACAGAAAGTGTAAAACGTTCACTTGAATAAGCTGTGAATATACTGAAATTGAGAAACTAAAATAAATGCAGTAGGAAATAGTAATATGTGAAGTAAATCCTAAAAGTTATGTTTAACGATCCAATTTCTTGTCATCAAATCATAAGCAAGGAAATGAAAAGGAATGCTCCAGGGAAAACATTTCTGTACTGAGGCAGCAAGAAGAAGCAAACCAGTTGGTTCAAGCTATTCCACAATCCTACTGAAAGGTGGAACTGTCTAGCACTCCACATCATATGGGCTTCAACAGTTGTCACATATTATGGAGG